TAGCTTCTTGTTACTGCTAGTAAGGCACTTGTTACTAGAAGCGATGCGCTTGTTACTAGTAGCTTCTTGTTACTGCTAGTAAGGCACTTGTTACTAGAAGCGATGCACTTGTTCCTAGTAGCTTCTTTGTTACTACTAGTAAGGCTCTTGTTCCTAGTAGCTTCTTGTTCCGCTGCCTTCACACTTTTTCGGTTTGAAATCTCAGATGCAAATGGAACCGCCACAACTGTGCGAACTGCTTGACGCTTGGCCTCATCATCCTCATTCAGGCCCTCCTAGCAGGCCCAGAACCACAGGGGCAGTGGAGACTGGGCGAGCGGTTCTCACACGAAAAGACAAAAACAAATGACACAAACGCAGAAGCACGTGGACACGTGCACACGTGCGCATCCACCAAATCCACCAAAAACACAAAAGTTTCCCAAATCATTGGTGCGAGCGCTTCTTCAAGGAAACTTCCTCGGCCGCCTTTGGGGCCGCGGGGGAGCTTCCTTGAAGAAGCGTGAGCTATCCGGCGTCCAAGGTAGGAGCTTCCTAGGTAGTAGCTACTTAAGCTACTACTTCACCACCTCACCTCTAAGGCCTACTCCCCCCCACAAAAACAAAACTTTCTTTTGTCTCCTGCTGGTTGGTGGCCAGGATCTCCTGCACAGTTGGCTGCCCAGCAAGATCCTGGCGAGACAAATGATCTGATGCAAGCTCATGATCTGCTGAAGAATCTTTCGCGGGAGATTTGGAAGGACCACGGCCCAAGCTATCCTGAGAGCTTCCAGGAAACGAACACCTTGTTTCAATACTTTGAGCTTGTCTTCCTTGTCCAAATGACCAAAATCGTCAAAGAACTTGTCCTCGATACCCACTAAAAGGCGTTCTTCCAGATTCTTTTTATTGAGGAGAACTTCATCATACCGTCTAGCAACGTGCTTTTCATCCTTCAACCTAAGGTTCTTCTTATTCAAGGCAAGACTGCGAATATACTACGTGCCTGCAACAGTGAATCTCCTCGAAATCTCCCAGAAAGACTGAGCAAAAATGCTTTGAAGAACAAGCCGACACCCAATCTCTCCACAAAACAAGACGTGTGTCACGTCGTGTCGCTTGCTGTCGCTTGCCTCCATGAGGCTCCCAGCTTCCTGCTGGCGCAAAAGCAACTCCAAGGAGCTCTCGGATGCATTGGCCACCAATGCGAAGGGAGGCCGTTCACCTTCGTCCTGCGACATGGTCCGTCGGCAAAATGACAAATTTATCGGATGAGTTCATCAAGCTTCATCTGTTGCACCCTTGCATGAATGCTCCTAGTAGAGATGCCAGGAGCCCCTAGTAGCGTCCTTGCTCCTAGTAGCGATGCCCTTTGCTCCTAGTAGCTTCTTGTTACTAGCAAGAATGCTCCTAGTAGTAATGCTGCCCTTTGTTACTAGAAGCGATGCCCTTGTTACTAGTAGCTTCTTGTTACTAATAGCAAGAATGCATGAGTTACCAATTTGTCACTTCAAGTTCTCCCCGTCCTTGGAGCTCAGTGTCAAAGCTATGGATCCGGGCGAGAAAGCGCCACCATCTGCCTCTGAGAGCGCCTCCGACGAAGTGAAGGGCATGAAGGACTGTTTCAGTCGAAACAAGGTTCGCTACTAGTAACAAGTGCCCTACTAGTAACAAATTAGAATTAGAATAGATCTAAAATTAAACAAATTAGAAGCAAATTAAATTAAATTAACTAAATTAGAATTAGAATCAAATTAACTTAGAATTAATCTAAATTAAAATAGAATTGAATTAAATTGCTAAATTAGAATTAATTTAGATTAAATTAGAATTAAGTTAAATTAGAATTAATTTAAAGTAAATTAAATTAGAATTAGAACGTAGTAACATTCTATCAAAAACACACATTCTATTTCAGTCCTCTAACGAGATACTTGTTACTAATAGCAAACATTGTTACTACTAGTAAGGCACTTGTTACTAGAAGCGATGCACTTGTTCCTAGTAGCTTCTGTTAGTAGGCACTTGTTACTAGAAGCGATGCACTTGTTACTAGTAGCTTCTTGTTACTACTAGTAAGGCACTTGTTACTAGAAGCGATGCACTTGTTACTAGTAGCTTCTTGTTACTACTAGTAAGGCACTTGTTACTAGAAGCGATGCACTTGTTACTAGTAGCTTCTTGTTACTGCTAGTATTATGTTGTCCACTTACAGCCAAGTTCTAAGAATCATTGAAAAAGAAAAAGTGCAGAAACGAAGCAACAAAATAGCAAAACCAAAAAGCAGAAAGAAAAACTGTCTGGATAAGAAGTGCAGAAACAAAGCAGAAAAAAAGCAAACAAAAGTGCAAAAAAAAAGCAAACAAAAAAGGGAAAAAAGCAAACAAAAAAGGGGAAAAAAAGCAAACAAACAAAAAAACAATTTATCACCCACTTTTCCCCCACTTTTTTTGTGGCTCTGGAATTTGTTCTCCCACTTTTTCCCCACTTTTTTTGTGGCTCTGGAAATGCCAAAACTTTGCACTTTCCTCGAAAAAAAAAAAAAGCAAAAAGAGTGCGAAAAAAGTGCAAAAAAAGAGCAAAACAAGTGCAAAAAAAAGTGCAAAAAAAAGTGCACAAAAAAAGTGCAAAAAAAGCGTGCCCAATTTGCCTCCAAAAAAAGGCTCTTTTTTGCTTTTTTGTTTGCTTATTTTTTGCTCTTTTTTTTTGCTCTTTTGTTGCTTTTTTTGAACGTTGCTATTTTGTGTTTGCTTTTCATGCACGCACTTTTTCTGCACTTTTTTTTGTTTCCCATACTCCCATAGAAGTTGGCTAACTGGCCAACATAATGCTAGTAAGGCACTTGTTACTAGAAGCGATGCACTTGTTCCTAGTAGCTTCTTGTTACTACTAGTCCTCTAACGAGATACTTTTTTAAGCACCGGGGGGGGTAGGCTGTGAGGTAGGCGAGCAAGTGAGCTAATAAGGGAACGCCAAGCTACCAAGCTGAAGAAGCTAGTCCTGGGTGGACGCAAACGGCTAGCCCTCGCGCTATTCATTTGGTTCCGAGTTTATTTTCAAAATGGATCTTAATAAGATCAAGGACCTAGCGGAGACCTTAGGTCCTTTACGTGTAACATGTGAAACCGCCCATGGCGAAACATCTGATGATTTTAAACAGCCCGCTCCCTTTAATTCCCCTTTCCATTTGATTTACCTGCAGTTTCTACTTGACAATGGACTGACAAGAGGCGTGGGGTCTTGGAACCTCCCTCTTATCTACTGGACGCAGAAGACCTTTCTTTTCTCCTTCCCCTCTCCACAATGAACATGCGCACATTAAATACACACATTCTATATATTTATACAAAGTAGAAACAAGAATCTTTACATGCGCACCTCGAGGCCAGTGGCATCACCCTGCGCTGCCAAGCTGCGAACCTGCCGGTCAACCCTTATACAAACATGTTTGCTTTTCCTTTTTTGGGGGGCTAGGGTAGAGGTGAAGTAGGTAGTAGCCAGGTAGCTTGTAGCAGTTAGTAGTAGTACTAGTATTAGACCTTTCTTCCTTTTCCTTTTTTTTGTTTCCACTAGCGATGGCCGGCAACCTAGAAGTGGCCTCCAACCTAGAAGCAAACTAGGAGGCCTTCCTTGTAGGAATTGGTGAATGATTGGCATCGCTACTAGGACCAAGGAAGCTACTAGGGGCTCCTGGCATCGCTACTAGGAGCAAGAAAGCTACTAGGGGCTCCTTGCCATACTACTAGGAGCAACTGTGGAGGTCGGTGGATGCTCTACACTTCACCCTCAAAGCGAGCCGCAGCGGCTCTCTACACTTCTTGAGAGAAGGCTAAAGACTCAAAAACTCAAAAAAAAACACATTTTATGACTTAAACTTTCACGTCTTCTTCAGCCTCTGCTATGGTGAGCTCGCGCTCAACCAAGAGCTGCCGCAAAAACGACCTGCGGTTTGCAGGCAAAAAACGAGTCTCTAGACCTGGACGAGTGCTAAATGTCAGCGTGACGTAGTCGTTCTCGTCACTCATTGACCACTCTGGTGGACTCGACACACTCGAAAGCGTTCAATGTACCATTTGCGCGACTCAACATCCAGACATCATTCCGGAGATGATTAGCAGTTCATTGTGTGGCCCCGCGGTCGCCGCGGTCGCCTGCTGCACGCGAGCTGGCGCCGCAGCTTCAAGGCACAAAGCTGTGCTGCACCTTCTTGCGCCTTGGCGTCGGAGTTGGAGTGACATGGGCGATGAAGCTGTCCTGTGACATGATTGGAGGCAGAAAAAAGGAAAGCAAAGTGGCTTGAAAGCACAGATTTGATTTGATGATTTAATGAAACCACTCAGAGCCACACACACTTGAGAAGGTTGCTCCGTAGAGCGCGATTTCAGGCTGCTTC